TGCTCCACTTCCAATCCATCTCTCTGCTATAGCCTGGGAAAGCAGTGGAGGATGGCCCAAGTCTTTGGGCCCCTGCACCCACGTGAGAGACCCTGAGGAAGTTCCTGGCACCTGGCTTTGAATCAGTGCAGCTCCAACTGTTGCGGGCAATTGGAGAGTGAACCAGTGGAGGGGAGACTCTCCTCTCTTTCTCCTCCTCTCTCTCCCTCTCTCTCCTCCTCTGTGTAACTCTTTCAAATAAATATATAATTCTTTTAAAATAAAAAGTGCAGATAATCCACTAAGCCACAGAAGCATAGTTCAAAGATAGAAGCTATTAGAGGATAAAAACAAGTATCTCTACAAATGCCTAAAAATAAATGAAGAAATTAAAGAAACAAGAATAAGAAAAACAACATGACCCTCCCCAAAGGAACACAACAACATTTCAATATTAGAATATGAAGATGAAGAGACTGCTGAAATGCTGGAAATGGAATTCAAAAGATTAATCACAGGATTACTCAAAAGCAATCAGAAGCAAATCCACAAATGAAAGAAATCCATACATGAGTCAAATTTTCCCCATAAAATTAAGATTTTAAATAGAAATCAAAATGAAATATTAGAAGTAAGGAATTCAATAGATCAAATAAAAAATGTGGTGGAAAGCCATGAGAACAGATTTGGTGAGGCAAAAGAAAGAATATTGGAGCTAGAAGGTAAATCTTTGGAAATCTTTCAGTCAGAACAACAAAAGAAGAAGAAATTAGAAAAATTAAAAACAGTGTTAGAGATATATGGGATACTATCAAATGCCCCAACATGGGTCTTAGGAGTTCCTGAAGGTATGGAAGAGAGAATGGACGGAAAGTCTATTTAGTGAAATAATTACAGAAACTTTCCCCCATTTGGAGAAAGAAAGGGATGTCCAAGTACAGGAAGCACACAGAACTCCTAGATATGACCATAAAGGATCTTCACCACAACACATTGTAGATAAACTTTCTATTTAAAAAATATTTATTTATTTGAAGGAATTACAGAGGAAGAGACAAAGAGAAAGGTCTTCCATCCACTGGTTCACTTCCCAGAAGGCTGCAATGGCCAAAGCTAAGCTGATTGGAAGTAAGTCAGGAACCAGAAGCTTCTTCCAAGACTCCCACATGGGTGCAGGGGCCCAAGCACTTGGGCCATCGTCTGCTGGTTTCCCAGGTGCATTAGCAGGGAGCTGGATCAGAAGTGAAGCAGCCGGGACTCAAACCTGCACCCATATAGGATGCCAGTGCTTCAGGCTGGGACTTTAACCACTGTGTCACAGTTCTGGCCCCTTTGTAGTCAACAGAACATAAAGAAAATATTATAAAATATACAGAGCAAAATGATAGATTACTTTGAGGACATCTCCAATTAGACTCACAGCTGACTTCTCATCAGAAATTACAGGCTAGGAGAGAATGAAGAGACACAGTCCAAGTCTTTAGAGAAAAGAAGTGTCAACCCAGAATGCTGTACCCTGAAAACCTCCCTTTTATGAATGAAGATGAAATAAATACCTTCCATAACAAACATAAATTGAAAGAATTTGCCACCACTCATCCAGCCTTACAAAAGATGCTGCACACAGAAACCCAGATAGATGGTCATCATTATGAAACAATGTGAAGACAGAAAATCTCCAAGTAAAAATACAAAGGAAATCCAAAGTAAGCAATAGGAAGATTTATAGGAAAAGTATAGGGCCAAGTCGTTACTTATCAAGAGTGACCTTGAATATAATGGCCTCAACTCTCCAGTTAAAAGATACAGACTGGCTGAATGGATTCATTAACAAGACCCATCTATTTGTTGCCTACAATAAAAACATCTCACCAGCAACGATATAGACAGATTGAAAGTGAAAGGATGGAAAAAGATATTCAATGGCAATGGAAAGCAAAAAAAGAGCAGATATAGCCATCCTAATATCAGACAAAATAGACTTTTACATAAAAACTGTTAAAAAGAGGTGTTGTCATTGTGACATAGTGGGATAAGCCTCTGCCTCTACCTATGGCACCAGCATCCAATGGGCTCTGGTTTGTATTCTGACTGCCACTCTTCCAATCCAGTGCTCTGCTATGGCCTGGGAAAGCAGAAGTTGACCCAGGTGCTTGGGCTCCTGTACCCATGTGGAAGACCAGGTAGAAGCACCTGGCTTCGGATCATGCCAGCTCAAACCATTGCATCCATTTGGGGAATGAACCTGCAGATGGAAGACCTATCTCTCTGTAACTCTACCTCTCAAGTAAATAAACAAATCTTAAAAAAAAATTAAAAGAAATGAAGAATGGTAGTATGTAATGATTAAGGGATGAATTCAACAGAAGATGTGACTATAATAAATGTATATGCACCAAATTTAAGGGCTCCTGTCTATTTAAACGAAATGTCAATGGGTCTAAAGGGAGACATAGACTCCAATACAATAGTAACAAGGGATTTCAGCACCACATTTTCATCAATGGACCAACCAACTAGACAAAATCAATAAAGAAACAACAGAGCTAATTGACACTATGGACCAAATGGACTTAACTGATATCTACCACAGTTGCAGAATACACATTCATACTAGTGCATGGAACTTTCTCTTGGATAGACCATATTCTAGGCCATAAAACAAGCAAAGTCAAAAAAATCCAAATCACACTGTGCATCTTCTCTGACCACAATTGAATGAAGATGGAAATCAACAACTCAAGAGTTTCTACATCATATGAAAACAATTGGAGACTGAAAAAAAAAAAAAAAAGAAAACAATTGGAGACTGAAGTTCAAGCTCCTAAATTAACAGTGGGTCATAGAAGACATCAAAAGAGAAATCAAAATATTTCTGAAAACAAATGAAGATGACAACATATCATATCAAAACTTATGGAATACACAAAAGCAGTTTTAAGAGGGAAGTTTATAGCAATTGGTGCCTATGAGAAGAAATTGGAAAGGTACCAAATAAATGAGCAACCAGTGCATCTTGAGAACCTAGAAAAATAACAAACCAAACCCAAAATTAGGAGGAGGAACAAAACAGAGAATAAACAAAATAAAATACAAAAGATCAGTGAAATGAAGAGCTGGTGTTTTTTTTTTTGAAAAAATAAACAAAATTGGCACACTCTTAGCCCAACTAACTAAAAATAAATCAGTAGCCTTTGTATATACAGACAATGCTGTGTCTGAAAAAGAACTTTTAAAATCAATCCCATTCACAATAGCTACAAAAAATCAAATACCTTGGAATAAATTTAACCAAGGATGTCAAATCTTGATGATGAAATTTACAAAACATCAAAGAAATAAAAAGAAGACATAAAAAATGGAAAAATCTTCCATGTTCATGGATTAGAAGAATCAATATCATCAAAATGTCCATACTACTGAAAGCAATTTACAGATTCGATGTGATCCCAATCAAAATACCAAGGGCATTCTTCTCATATCTAGAAAAAATCATGCTAAATTTCATATAGAAACACAAGAGATCCCAAATTGCTAAAGCAATCTTATACAACAAAATCAATGCCAGAGGCATCACAATATCAGATTTCAAGACATACTACAGGGCAGTTATAATCAAAACAACTTGGTACTGACAGAATAATAGACATGTGGACCATTGGAATAGAATAAAAACTCCAGAAATCAATCCAAGCATCTACAATCATTTACAACCAACTTACCTTTGACAAAAGAGCTAAAATAAATACCTGAAGGAAAGATGGTCACTTCAACAAATGGTGCTGGGAAAACTGGATTCCTGCATGCAGAACTATGAAACAAAACACCTACCTTACACCTTACAGAAAAATCTACTCAAAATGGATCAAGGATCTAAATCTACAAACTGATACCATCAAATTACTAGAGGAGAACATTGGGGAAACTGTGCAAGATATCAGCATAGGCAAAGACTTCTTGGAAACAACTCCAGAAGCACAGGCAATCAAAACAAAAATGGACAAATGGGATCACATCAATCTGAGAAGCTTCTGCACTGCAAAAAACATTCATCAAAGTTAAGAGGCAACTGGCAGATGGGAGAAAATATTTGCAAAGTACCCAACTGATAAAGGGTTAATATCCAGAATCTATAAAGACCTCAATAAATTCCGACAACAATAACACAAACAATCCAGTTAAGAAATGGGCAAAGGACTTGAACAGGCATTTTTTAAGAGAAGAAATTCAAATGGTCAACAGATACTCGAAAAAATTCTCAGGCTCACTAGCCATTTGGGAAATTGAAATCAAAACCACAGTGAGGTTTTACCTCATCCCAGTTAGCATGGCTCTCATATAGAAATCAACAAATAAATGCTGCTGTGAGGGAGGGTACAGCAGGAAGTATCACTCTGTTCCTAAATCTGTGTATATGAAATTTATATACCTTAAAATTTTAAAAATATGTATTTAAACTCACCTCTGCCATTTAAGAAAACTATTTCAGGCTTCTTGTAATAATTCCTAGAATCCAAGACTCATTTCTAAGATAAGGGCTCCAGTAAGTGGGAATGATGCAAAGATACCAAGTTTAGGATATTTGTCTAGAGCCTGAACAATGCATACAAATTCTAGAAGCAAAAGTCAGAACAAGTAGGGGCCTGCCAGGACCTTTGTTCTACCCCCTGTGTAGCCTAGCCCAAACTCAGGGCTCATATAGGTAATTGGTTCAAAGATGAATTATAAAGCACACATCCTGTGGCTGCATAAACCATTCACACATTCATACCCACGTCAGCAAACATTACAAGATTTTCCATCTACAAAGACCTTAGCAACCCAGTGCCCTCATTTTGCTGCTGAGGAAGCAGACCCAGAGAAGGAAAGTGACTTGCTGAAAGTCACACAGGAAGTGCAGACCATACATGCTGACTCCTACTTTGTTTACACCTTTCCTTGCTTATTTTTAACCTCTCTGTATTGCCTCTTGATCAGTGTTTGTGCTCAGTATTTAACCAGAATGCTGTCTTCATTTTCAGGAAATTTGCTCCCCGCTGCTCTGTGTGCAAGGAGCCTATCATGCCGGCCCCAGGCCAGGAGGAGACCGTCCGCATCGTGGCTCTGGATCGCGATTTCCACGTCCAATGCTACCGCTGTGAGGTCTGTGGTCATACCAATACATCTTGCTAGAGTTGCCTTTTCAAGATCATAGCAATTTTATGAAATCGGGGAAAGCCCTTAGTTCCTGTATTCAAAGGACTTGTGTTTTAGATGTGATCTTTAATGCAAACTACATTGGATAAGTCATTTTACCTCTCTGAGTCTCAATTTCTCCCACCTATACAAAGGATTCTACATCTTAACTCCTCCAGATATGGCTTTGAGACTAAAACACAAAGATGTACGCTGAAGTGTGTTATCCATTGTAAAGTACTGAATTGGTGAGAAGTGCTGTTATCTTTATACTGAGTCTTTAGCTTTGGCTCTGATACTTCAGTGAACTGCTCATCCAGGGCAGAGGTACCACTACCATTTACTGAGAATGACGAAAATTCACCATTTGGGAGGGGCTGGAACTTCTCGTTCAAAGTCTCAGAGATTCAGTTACTTATTAGCAAGCACTGACTTTCGAGATGAGAGGTCTCCCGTGGTCTACAGGAGAATGATGCACATGGCGATAATACACATACATAAAGGAACCTGTAGCCCAGGCTGGCGATGACAAGAAGCCTTCTCGGATAAGGTCAGCTGAAGCAGGGGATGATAAAGGGATGCGTAGCCATCAAGGTGCCCTAGTGGCAGCACATCTTCCCTCCTATAATTTGGATGTCATAGGGCATCACATTCCAATTTCTTTTTATTCTTCTTTGATCTTAGTTTTTTAAAATTTTTTTATTAATATACAAATTTTATGCATTCAAAGGTACAGTTCTAAGAATACAAGCACACTTCCCTCATTCCCCTGCTCCCCCTCAATGCCCCACCCTACCTTCCTTCTCTCCATAGGTTTTTGCAAAGCCATAATTTTAATCCACTCTGTATTCACAGGCTTAATTCACCACTAATCATAATATTCAAGCAAAAAGCAGGGGGAGCACAGTTCCAAAGGAATATAAACAAGGGCTAAAATTGAAAATCATATCCTAAAGTGGCCATGTCATTCCTATATGTGCTTTGGTATTCTCTGTTTTCTTATCCTGGTTCTACAAGTTTCCAGACCCTCTCTTTTGAAGCAGTGATCTTGTTTTCTACTAGCTCTTCCGAGTATAGCACTTTCCAGCCCCTTTTCTATCTGTGCAGGATACTTCAGCTATGAACTTCCTCAATCCCAGTTCCTCAGGAGGGTTCATCTGGTTCAACCAGGAGCTCTTCCCCGGACACAGACCAGCTGGGCTCGCAGCACTGCCCTGGCTCTCTGGGACTGCATCATTCCTTTTACAGCTTAGTTATAACTGACCATCTGTTTCAGGCAGTGTGCTTTGTTTTGCCCTAGAGCCCAAGTTGTATTCCTCTCTCTGGCTTAATACGAGAAAATATAATAAAAGACAACTAGCTTTTTCACAGGTTTTTATGACTGTGGAAATAGAGAATACAACAATGTGCCACTGTCATCTTTAAAATGACCCAAAGTATGCAGGAGTGTATATGAACTAACAGATACTTTAGAGTTAACACATGGAGAAACTGAGGCTCAGTGAAGGCAGGCTGCGAACATTCCTCACACACCTGATGTACACATCAAACTGGCTCTGACTTTTAAGTGACTTTGGCTTTCCCACTAAGACTTGCACCAAACAGGCCTTTCTTCCACTCAGATTCACTGGTAGCTGTTCAAATTAGGCTTGCTTTAAAACGCTGAGAATTGTTTAAAAACAGGAGGAACTCTGACTTAGAAGAGGGCAGACCTCTGCTCTAACCCTGCCACTGGACTCTGCCTAAGACCAGACAGATGGTTTCCCTCTCTGCTCCTTGCCCTCCCCTATAAAGCTCCTCTTGGCTCCAAGGTTCAAGGTATTGATGGTTACAACCTGGGCTCTTTTAGGTGTCCAGGTGACTGCAGATGTCAGCTCGTTAAATATTTAAAGCCATGCCGTCTATGAAGTACCCTGCCTTCATATTATTGGAATAGAAGGAGCTTGCTTAATTCCATGTTCAGTTTCCTAACTGCCTCCAGAAGTCGGGCTACTTGCTTGTTCTTTTAGGTAAAGCCGTCCTTGCTGGAGTGTAACTGCTGCCACCACTGTGTTCTAAGAGAGGCTTTGTTGGAGCTTCATTTTTACTGTTTGTCAATGCAGCCGTGATCTCCCCTGACCTGCTTGCCACCACGGTAGACAGCACAGAGGCAAGCTGAGCAGCAGTTCTGGCCTTTTAAAGTTTCTACTCAAGTTAGTGAGGGCACGCACCATTAGATGAACTCCAGTATGTTCACTGTCCAAAGAAACGTCCATTTTGTCCATGGGCAAGGGCCAGCAGTTGACTATTATATGATATCTTCCAAATGGACCCTCCGAGGTACTGCCAGTAGTGGTATAATCCTTTGCAGTTATGTAACTCTTTGCATTTTTTACATAATACATTCACATCCATTATCCTCTTTGATCCTCCCGACAGCTTGGAAAGGTAGAAAACGCAAGCATTATTTTCAGAGTGGAAATCGGCCTTGTGTGCAGTGACACAAGCAGTGGCAGACCTGAGGGCAGCGACTCCTGGTCTAGCACTCATTCCTCTACATCATGCTGTCTCCTTTGGGCGGTACAGAAAACCATTGCTCCCCACAAACTTTAGCATTTTATTTTCTTGCTACATTTGGCATAAAGATGCAGAAATCATTAGGGGCCCTTCTGCTTGGCAACAATCACTCTTTGCCTTTGCTTTTGGCCCAAGAATGGCCAAAAAATTCCATTCTGGCACCTGCATATTTCTTTTGAGAGATCCTCAAGCTAGTGATAAAGGGTAAAGATGAATTAGTGGTTAAGGGTCTATTGTTATTACATTGTCTCCTGTTGTTGGCTGGGTGGGGATGGAGGAGGGGGTTGGCAATATATGAAGCCAGAAAGGTAGCAAGTGGCCACGTTATGGAAGCCCTGAGTGGAAAACTAAGGAATGTGGTCTTCATCCTCTTCTAGGATTGCGGTGGTCTTCTGTCTGAAGGCGATAACCAGGGCTGCTACCCACTGGATGGACACATCCTCTGCAAGACCTGCAACTCTGCCCGCATCAGGGTGTTGACCGCCAAGGCGAGCACAGATCTTTAGATTCAGTCACCTGTTTAGCTGGTTGGTAGATGGCGCTGAGAAGAATGATACACAAGGGAAACACATAGGAAAATAGAGGAAATGCAATCAATCTGTGAGATGGTCTCAATTCTTCATCTGCTGTTAACTTTTGTTGAGAAACACATAGTTGGTAAGATGTTTTTTCACTTCTCACCAGAATACACATTTCACATTTAATCATGCAGGCCCTTGGTGGGCCTTTGTTCCAAGTACTTCTACATTTTTGCACGGATTATGTTCCATCCCATTCACTTCTGCATTCCTGTAACTTTTAATCCCTATGTTTGTCTCACTTTTCATCTGGTTGAATGGCTTTTTCTACCGTGGTATTTGCTGTCACACAGTTTTTCCTGGATGAGGCTGCCAACTCACAGGTGGTTTTAGGTTTAAAGTCTCCATCCTATCACTTCCATGCTGCCTGTGATTAGAAAGGTTAGCCATTCTTTTGCCATGGGTTTAAAAATATTTTTTTCTGTTGCTCTATACCACTCGTGTCCCTTGGGGCAGGGACCAGGGGGAGGAATATATAATTTCTGTAATAAGGATTTAAGTTGTAAAATACCTGAGTTAAAATAAGTTAAAATTTAATTTGCAACCATCCAAATTTAAAATCTCTAGTAACCAGTGGTCAGGGCTCAATGAAAACAATTATCAGCCCACAGTTAATGAGTGGTGAAAGAGAGCTGAGCTTCAATTTTTTTCTAAACAGATTAGATTTGGGATACAGTAGAAAAAGTATTTGGGGGAATATGTTTGAAAAACCCTTTATCCTGCAACAGCCCCACAGATTTCCCTTTTTGATGCTACCTGGACAAAAGACAAACTTGGCTTTCTCTGGAATCGAACATGTCCAGTACCATCCCACTCTTCATCTTAGGAAGCTAAGAATTGTCATGGTTTTTCTAAGATCCAAACACAACTACCAAAATTGATTTTTTTTTTCTTCTATAGAAAGATAACTATAAAGAACAGTTCAAACTCCTTTATGTTCCTCCAGGCCCAGACCATTTTTGCCTGACAATTGCAAATCAGGGCAGAGAAAATAAAATTGTGTAGCTTTGTATAGTTTACTTTAAAAAGAAAGGAAATCTTAAGAAGATTGTGAAACCACAGTTTCATTATTATCCTAATCCTTCTGCAACTCAAATTACATATTGCGGGAGACATTTTCATATCATCGACGTGACATTTATACCACACTTTCAAAGATAATCACTGGAAAAAAAATTGTCTTTCTGAGCTAAAAATATGCAGAGTCTCTGCCTAGAATCTTTATTCAAATTCTTATTAGCCAGTGAAACACTCGCATGCCAACTGCAGAACCATATTTATTAAGTTCTAGCATGTTTCATTTAAGGAGAGACACCTACCTTAGTAACGGCAAGTTGCCATTTTGTAAACTACGTATTTTGGATTGAGATTTCTTAAACCTTTCTTCAGATCTTCCACAAGTATATACTTTTAAATTATGGAGTATTTTAAATATACAAAAAGGTATAAATAATAATATAATGAATCTCTATATACCTAACACCTAGTTTAAGAAATCAGATATAACAAATATAGTTACATTCCCCTGTGCACCCTTGCCTTATTCCACAAATATCTTTCTCATAATTATAAAATGATAGTTTTCTAGACTGATTTTTTTAACACCAGAATAATAATGAACAACTATTTGTGCATGTTTTAAATCACAACCCATGCCTCAGGAGTTCCAATTAAATTTATTTTACTTGAATAGAAATAATAAAAATGCTTCTTTAAATAACAAGAAGACATTCTGAAGCCTATGGTCGCTGTGTAGCTCATCTTAGTTAATTTGTGGCACATTTGCTTTTGTCACGACACAGTTTGGTGTTGAAACCACCCAACTTACACCTTTTAAGAGCTTCTTTGACCACTGTGCTTTTCTTACCTTGTTTCTCTTATCCTAGGCTTATATTTCTCACAGTGTGAAATATAATGAGACTCACGTAAGGCAGCATGTGAGTTTTAGGATACAATAGCAATTGTACCTTTGAATTCCTGTCTTCCAAATTCAATGCCAGACCCTACTGATGGCCTCAGAGCACACTGACTCTTAGACAACTGGGGTGATAACAGATCAATTCAAGCAGATTATATTAACTTGTATTCTGTTAAATACTTAAGGAAAATTGTCTTTAGGCCAAAAGCAGAGGGTCCAATTAATTGAGGGATAGATTTCATCTTGGGAAATACCATCATATTATTGTAAATTTTGCCAGAAGAAGAATTTATGAAATATTTATACTATTAAAATGCAATAACATCCTACTTGATACACTTAAATCCTTATGTAACTGAATGTTTACATGCCAAAAGAAAAAGTTAGAAGAAAATGCTGTCACAGGCCCATCAATGTGACATTGCCAGCACAATATTGCTTGCTTATAATCTTTATAGTGTATTTGTATCACATAACCTCAGAGTATCTTTACCAAAGATTTTTTAACTAAATCTCTTTTTAATGTAGACTTGTACTTTTATAATAATGAATGTGCACACATTGTTAAGCACAAATATTTAGATTTAGACATTTTTTTCTTTCACTAGGTATAATAAGGAAAGGATCCTACCACATTTTATTCTGGGATTTCTTAAATATATGATTTATATTACTTTCTTATCCTTTCTATTAATCATTTGATTTAAATAATGCCAAGTCACACTTAACTGTTTTAGTTACATGAAATGTTGCCTATAACAGAAATAGAAAGATTGTCTTAGCTAATGATTATACTTACATTGTCTTTTGGTATATCATCCTGAGTGTTATCACTTAAATATATAGATAAGAGGAAAAATATCAAAGAGACTATAACAGAGTTTGTAAAAATACACATGCTTTTAAAAATTGTCAACAGCACAAATATTTGGTAATTCTGTGTAATGTGGAAAACATGGGAAAGAAAAACAACCCACTATGTCATGGGCTCTACAGGTCATGTCAAAATGAGATTTCTTAATTATTTGGATCCCCAACTCAGACAGACTCAGTGTTGAGCTTCATTGGCAAACAAAATTACCTATAAAACTCAAAAACATGTGTGTCTCAGCATAAGACATCAAGGTTGTAAGATGCTGGTCTCTGTTCAGCTCAAAGATGTGGGTTATTTTTCTTGTTAACACCTTATTTTTTCTGTACAAGCAATTTACTATGTTGGGGTGTACTGATTCATGAGGTGAACTTATAACATTATATCATTTTTTATGAAAGATTCTGAAAAGATGTTTATGGTAAAGTTTATAGGATATAAAACTCTAACTGCATTGAATCAAGTATTTGGTATTTTGGTCCAGAGGGAAAAAGAGTACTTTCTCAATGGAGCAGTAGTATAGAGTTGGTAGAGTAAAAACAGGACTCTGAAAAGACACAGTTTCCAACCACCTTCCTCATTAGTAAAAATCCTATTAATGTGAACCAGCCAGGGATAACAGTGTTATTTCTATTTGATGTGGTTTGCGCTTCTCTTGTCAAATCTGTGTCGGCTGCCCCCTGACCCTTCCATTATCAAGTTTTGAAGGGTGTTGGGGAAATTATGGCAGCTGCTAGGGAGATCAGGGAAACACTGATGTAACCTCACAGCCTCTCACCATTTCTCTTGGCTTGGAAAGGCTTCTTTTTCATATACATTTCTAGAAATATTGCTATTCTACCTTAGTATTTCACATTTGTAGTTTAAACAAGCGATTGTCCATCTGTTGCCTAGAGCTACAGTACATGTGTGTTATGAATGAAATATGACAGCATGTTCCATACCCCTGCTTTAGCCATCTGTAGGAAACCAGCAAACTGAAAAAGATATACCTCTGCAAAATGTGCCTCAAGTCCATTTCCTGCGATCAGTTTTTGTGCACTTTCATGAAAGACAATCAGAGAGCAATACCTATGTGTGCCTTATTTTTTAAAATTCTACTTACACTACTATAAATATTCCACTGAAAGTCAAATAATGTAAATAATCTCCAAATCATAATATCAAAAAAATGAAATCCAGAGAGGTCCCAAATTGTCATGTTAATGTAGTCTAATCATATTTTTCTCCTTTTGGAAGCACCTTATGGGCCCTTAAAGTAGGAAACCCTTTCTTATGCCACAAAGAAATATATTGGATGCGGCTTGTGTTGATGCTTTGATCTTTCTCTAGTTTGGGTCAGATAATGACGACAGAGGCTTTAACATGAATGTTTAACATCCATTCAGCATACCCATTATTTTGAATTATTTGAGATTTGTATGTTTCTTTGTCTAGTAATGGACAGATGAGTTGGGAACCCCCGTTGTGATCAAGTCATTCATAGGGTACAATTATGAGCTTTTCCATTCAAATTTTTTGACAGATAACCAGACAGAATTTCTCTCATAAAACTATTGTTTGGTTAGCAAAGCTTTATTTCAAGCCTTTTAAAAAATTACCTGACTAAAGCTACTTTACCGAGACTCTGAGAATTTCTTATTCACTTTTGCCTTTCCTCCCCTCTCCTTCTTCCTTTCTTCCATCCTGTCTTACCATCTTCCCTTGTTATCTTCATTCCTTCTTTCCATCCTGCCTATTTATGTTGCCATGCTTGGACTTTTCATAAATTAAACCAATGCACTATGATCCTTCTGGAATTATGATCATTTTAAGGGGGGAGTTAATTAAGATTACCAGAAAATATGTGGCATCCATAAATTCTTCATTAAAAAGGGCCTATTTTTCAAGTTGTGTTTCTTCACAAAGTGAGATAATGTATTATACTTTTGTTTTTAAAAATTTTCATTAGGGACCCACGTCATTGATTCCTAGAAAATTCATCTGTGGCTGATATCATTTCCTCAGCTATATATATTTAAAGGGATATATAAAACTAGATTAGATTTTCTTTTTAATCTAAGGCATTTAGACCACATTTTAATGATGGGTTATTATTTTATTCTATTGAAATTTGATAATTTCCTTATGTCAAGGAAAAATAGCTGTATTTTATCAAGGAAAATTATCTTTCCAGAAGTTTAACACATATTAGAACTTGGTGCATGATTATAATAGTAAATCCTAAGTAGCTGAATCAGAGCAGTTTTCAGGGGATGGATCAGTAAGTCTTTCTTGGTGCATAGATTACATATCTATTTCCCTTCAATACAGAAAAGACAGACACTAATTCTTAAATTACTATCCTGGCTCTTGTGCAATAAGATGTAAACTCCATTTTATAGGCAACATGCATGCGACTTATTTTGCGGAGAGCTGTGTGAGAGATGCATTTTTATTAAGCTGATTGAAGTTACAAAAAATACTGAAATCTTTGTTCTTTAATTCTGATTGTTATTTAATTTACAGAAGTCTCTTACCACACTAACAGATATCTCTACTTCTAGCCTGATTATAAACAAACTTAATACTCTACAAATACTTATGTAGAGACTTTGGGAAGCCTGCAGCTAATTCCTTTGTAAAACTTTAAGAGATTTGCATTGGGTTAGACATTGGCACAGTGGGTAATATACTTCCTAGGATGACCACATCCCATATCTGAGCACATAGTTTTGATTCCTGGCTCCACTTCTGATTTCAGCTTCCTGATAATACACGTGTGAGGAGGTAGCAGGTGATGGTTCAAGTACTTGAGTCCCTGCCACCATGTGGGAGACTCAGGTTGAGGAGTTAAGCTCTTAACTTTGGTCTGATCCAGATCCAGCTGTTGCAGGCATTTGAGGAGTAAGCCAGCAGATAGAAGACTGACTCTCTCACTCTCTATCTTTCTATATCTCTCTCTGTAAAATAAGTAAACATAATATTTAAAAAGGTGCTTGCCTTCAGCCTTTTCTGCCACACAGCTTTAATTTTTCCAAGATACCCATTCACTTAGGGACAAGAGAAAACCTTATTCATATAACTCCGATCAACATTTAGCTAATATACCCAAGTTAAAGCCATATTACTTAGCCACACATGCATTCAGTCAATTTGCCATGCCATTTATAACTTCTGTTCTAAACCCAAGGGATAGAAAGATGTACCAGGAATGGGACAGAGGTCACCATTCATCTTGTGTTCTATAGCGCATAGAATTAAAGTTGATGCAGGCACCAGTGATGTTCATAGACAAACAGAGTCAGGGGCCTTTTAAAGATCTTATTCTCCTCTTTTATGTTTCTAGTTATCATCCCAAATCTTCTTAGATCTGGACAGTATGTGCTACTGCTCATAGCAGTCCATTTGTTGTCCCTAGCTACACCGAACAAGGCAGATTTCTAAATGTTTGCCACGTTATGTCTAATAACACCAACTGTTCCACATCTTCCCCCAATTATTCACATGGTACTAAGTTCCATTACTCTTCCCCTCCTTTGCAAATAAGTGGACCCAAAAGTATTTTCTAAAGTTTTAGTCAATTCAGTGAAGCTTAGCAATCACTATAGGTCAGTCAATGGAATTGGAGTCAGCCAAAGGGAATTTCTCCCAAGCACTCAGAACCAGAGGAGTGAAAGCTAGCTATGGATTCCTTCACATGGATCACAGAGTCCTCTTCCTTTACGTTCTGCACTATTTTTGGTGCTGCCAAAGTCAAAGTAATTCTGACAACAGGAAGCAAGCTATTGCTTATGCCATCCGTGAGATTCCCACTTTGTCAATTCATAAAGCTCTTTAGCCCTTCCCTTTATCCCTGCCTTCTCAAGAATAAGACTTGTCCCCATATGGAATATGGGAAAAGAGTACTGAACATTTTGAAAGTTCTGTGTACATAGTAACTGTTTGGCTTTGAGAGTACCTTCCATTCATTCTGGGCTCACATGTTTGTACCTAGTGATGTTTGTGCTTAGACCAAAGGAGCATCTTCCCTCCATAGACTGATTAGATACTGTGCTTAGCAGCACATGTTTTCTCTAAAGTTTTGTTCTCTCACCATCATTATTCCTTCTGAATATCTTCATTGTATTAATCATTACTTAATTACTATTAGGGGTTCAGCCACTAATAACTTCTATTCAGGCTAACTGCAATAGGATCAATCAGGTTTGATCTGTACATACTCTACAGGAAGCAGTATGGCATGGGGATGAGTAATTAAGCCTTCATGGAGGATATGCAATTCAGTAAAAATCTTGAGTTGATCCATTAACTTGATTTGGAAGTTGAAGAAAGAATATTTTGATCACAACAGGAAAACACAGGCTATATTCAAGAGAAAAAATATTGCCTTGGTCAAACTGTCACAGACTCTGGAATTTTCTGTTTACCAAGAGAAAAGCCTTCCCAATATTCAGGGTCAGTTGGAAGGAAAAGGCATAGAGAATACTAACTGCATTGTTACCAGCTTCTACATGTCTTCATAATTGGAAGAAATGATGAGTTGTCAAAATCCAACATGTACAGTATGAAGTAGCCCTCCATGAACTTGACTATAACATTAAAAATCTGTGTTCCTGTTGGACCACAGTGTCATCCTCCCTTCTTGGAGTGAATGTTTATGTCCTTTGAACTCCTCAAAGAGAAAAAGCAGAGCACCTCTTGTTCTTACGGATTCTAGGTACACGATTAGAAAGACTCTCCCATCATCTATTCCACTGGCTCTATAATTCCCTTAGAGATTCATTATGAACAGATTGTCCAGACTCTGTTTAAATTGCACTGTGTCAGGGAGCTCATTTCCCCCTTGCACTTTGTTCCAAACACCCGCTGATACTAAACAAAACCAGCCTTTGGGCCTGTGTTCTCTTTGGTTCCACACAAAACTAATCTGAAGGACATAATAAAATGTTGCTTCCTTCTTCCATTTTCTTTCCATATATATTTTTGTTTGGGGGCAATTCTTTACTTTTATATACAAGAAAAAAACTGATTTCAGCTGAAGATTATAAAAATCTTTCAACATCCCTAAAGAATCTAGAGGATTTCCTGAGTTTGATATATTATAGTTTTTTATTGTTGGTTGTACTCTTTCTCAGAAGACATAATGTTTGGACAGTTGTTCTATAGCTTCATATCCTCTTCCAGTAACTAACCCCTGGACAGTACAGTCCATTTATCTGACCTGTTGATGATGACCTTAAAAATATTGTGAAATGTCAGTTTGTTAGCTCTAGCTCTGACAAGATAAAAGTCAAAAGCAAAATATAATGGCATTATTGAAATTTGTTACTTCTGGTCAGTTATGTGCAAAGCAATATCACTCTCAAGGAGAAAGGGCTGTATTGTGCTGTAGTTTAGAGATGAGCAAATTCTTTCTGCCACAGGTTGCTATTTAGTTTAAGTAGTATTCCACAATCTTTGGGAAAACAGGAATTGTGACTTCTTCTACCTCAGCTTTGAATTAGCCCTGTAGGCAGAACTTGCCATCAGTCTTCTGGGAAGGACCTGGGGGTAGCTTTCTGAGCTCTAAAATAATAATTCCTAAGAGAGCTTACAAACTGCTTTCACACATAAAACAGCCCTGGGAGGAAGGTTATTAATAGCCCTATCCTAGAAGAGAAAGCTGAGGCTCAGCATCGTTAAGTGACTTGCCAAAAGCAATGCAGCTGGCAAGTGGCAGTTTTGGGGATGTACTCAGATCTTGCAAGTCCAGTGCTGTCTGCGAGCGGCCGCTCTTGGGGCTGAAAGTAACTTAGAGGACATTATATACTTTTCAGACTACCCTGGCCCCTGTTAGAAGTCATCCAGGAAAATTTGCTTAGACAGTTTGGCTCTCAATGGCAAGTCCACATGTGTACTGCGCTGCTTGAGGTCATTCAAAGCCTGCACCCATCTTCTGTGTCCTCTGGTGGGAAGCCACTAGATATTCTGATCAACACTGCAACTAAGTTGGTGAGGAAAGACCACCAATGAGAACAAACAACTGGCACCAAGGCACATTGCAGCACATTTCCCCAGAGAGACTTAGTTTATATTTCATTAACCGAAGCCTCCCTGGCACTGTCAGGTTCAGAATACCGACTGAGACCACATCACTTAGAATTCGCTGGCACACAGGGGTGACTTGATTCTGAAGACAAGCTTTTCTTTCGTAGGCCACAATATTTGCCCCCACAGCAGAACAACTGCTTAGGTAAACAATGCATATCAGTCTTTCTCTTGGTTCACGTTTATTGATTGACCACCAAGAGTATGTTGCTGCAACAGGGATTTCTGATTCCATCAACCCATGACCCTGAAATGCCTGTGAACCAGTGCCCTGGGACTGATGGCATTTCTGAGATTTGACCTTTGTCACTTGAGAGACTGCACTTCCTAGGCTGTTGTAACTTTGTGATTTGTGTATTTTCATCACAAGGAATTTGGTGTTTCCAGAAAACCTAATTGGAAAACTTAAGCAACCCAAAGTTCTCTACACTGGAGTTCAATAACAGGTTCCTGCCCTAAACTGTATCCCCCAGGAAGCTGGGCCCCTCTGGATTGTACTCTGGGCTTTTTACTTCCTCTTCTTCCTCCCTCCCAGTCGTTTGTTAGAATCTGTGAACAGAATGGAAAAACAATCCTTTCTCCACCTTAAATCACTTGCACTCAGTGTAAGAAACCTTAAAAATGAGATGATCTAGTAAGGTCCTAGGCATTGTTCCTCTTTTGTGTCTTCCACCTACCAACCAGTATCATTGGTCATTTGCTTACTTCCTGGGATTAATAAAAGCCAAGTTACTTGCTAATTGGGCTCTCTTGCCATCCCCATCTTCCCACATGAAGAAGACAGGAGACACCAACAGGACCTGTAAAGTGGTGGCCTTGGCCTAGACCGCACATGCAGAAACTAGTGAGGGGCCTTGTCTTTCTGTGAGGCTTGATGAATGCAACGGCCAGTGGGGCGGGGCATGATTCCCATGGATTAGGGTGGGTGCTCCAGCTTTTCCCACCTCCAAGAGTGGATATGAGGGAGGAGCCTGTTGAGCACTTCCCAGAGTATTGTGCAAGTGCACCTGAGCAGACTCACATGAGTAGAAATGTGCTATCTTCATGGAAGGAATAACAGGACAATTAAATGGTGATTATGAAGGTCGGGGGGAGCTTTATTTTCAAATACCTTTATAAATCAGACACAAGCCCTGATTTATCTTTACATAGTCAAAAAACTAAGGGAAAATTTTCTTCCCCTACTCTATACAATGTCATTCTTCAGATTTAGGAAAAAATACAATTCTGTTTAACACACACAAGGGCGCACGCGCGCACACACACACCACTTCCAAAAAAGCTGATCCTCCAAAAAAGAAATCTTATTTTAAAACACTTGGGTTTTTCAGGCCAGGAAATTAATAATTCCTAGACCTGACCCATTTTTGAAGCTGGCAAAAAGCAAAGAAAAAGCTATTTAAATTTTGTATGGATCCATTTATCTCTTTAAATATGCCAGAGCAATTTGAGGTGGGGGTGGAAATGAAGGTATTTATCTCTCTTGCTTGGTTCCCTCTTATATTTTTATCTGTCAAGAAAAGGATAAAGAACTATTCTTGGGCTGTGATTATTGACTCACGGTGTTGCCATTCTGGATGGTACCTGCTTTGCTTCACGGTGAGGCACAGTAATAATAGTTGCTTTCTTGACTTTTTTCTACGCGAGGAGGAAATATTAAGTCTGAATGTCTTTCCTCACCAAATTATTTGACTGTGTATCTGAACTAGTTTAGAAAATGCAAAATTTGGGGGAAGAGTTAGTTTCTCTTTGACACATTTCTGCTTTTTTTCTTTCCTTGGATCTTAAATGTAAAACCAGAACCAAAGCAAAAAACAAGCCAGTACTGTCTCGTCGTTCTCTTTCTTTTTGGCAGTGGTGTCACTCACTCTGTAATTATCAACCAGAAAATGGAGAATAGCTTAGCCAGGTTTTGATGCATCTGCCCCATGTATTTCATTCCTTTTCATACAGACTGAGAGGGAAAGAGATTTTTATCATTTAAATTTCAATGATAGAAATGCTCTCATATTTTAGCTTTGAAATAATAAAAGAAGTTGATATTTAGGAAATGTTTGCATTGTACTAATCATGTACTTTAAAAAAAAAAAGTCTGCCTAATTTCTAAAAGAGGGTCAAGTGCATCAACATATCAGGGTTACATTGCCAAAAAAAAAAATCAGATCCCACACTAGGCAACAGATTGAAACTTCTAGCCAGCATAAATTCTGAACCTCAATGGAAAAGAGAGAGAGGACCCTAGGAACCAAGTCTTGTCAGCAGTTTGCTGTAGTGAAGTAGCAACAAAATCATTTTTAAATGACTATCTTTTCCTTTTACTGCCCCCCCTTTTTCTCTTGGGAAAGCTGATGAGCAAATTTTCCAAGACTTCTCTCCTTATCCAACAAACTTTCCCTCCAAAAATCTGAATCGTATCCCCATCTTTTTGAAGAAACCAAAGAGTACAATTAAAAGATGATTGTCTGATTCTTTACCATGAATGAAATTCATCAAGTATTTTAGTAGTCCTTAAGCAAAAACTTAAACTTAGATGCAAAACTCTTACAGCTAGGTGTCACAATGCACATTTACATGTTCACCATACAGTGAATTGCTTTTAGTTTTTGCTTTTGCTTTTAACCTGTACCTTTATCACTACTGTAACAGGTTTGTGGCTTCTCTTTCTGTACTGCTAAGAATGGGAATATGTGCAATTATGAGAGGTACAGAAAAAAAAAAAAACTCTAAGTAGCAAATCTGTGCCATGAAGTAGATGTGACAGGAAGACACAGGGCCTGAGCATAGTAATTTTCCCTGAGCCACACACACATGCTTTTATTTCATGGCTTTATCACAGGCTTTTCTCCTTCTGTGCCGTCACCTTTGAGAGAAACGACTGCACCTTCTCCAAGTCTGCCTTTTTAACAGCTACAGTCGAGTTGGCAAGTCTTCCCCAGCTCTGAATATAGCCATTTGCCGACTTCGGCCTCTTTGTGAGACTGACTCAAATCTGTGATCTTCTGTTCAGCATACACATCAGCAAAGTGAGAAGATGAACACTAAATATAGGCTGTATTAACTTTACTTTTAGATTTACTGCCTTCAAAAAGTGCCTATTCTGAGAAACATAAACGTTATTCCTACATATGTATGTACACACGGTACCCAGAGTCATACTGTTAAGCGTCCAAAAACATACCATCAGAAGGAGGATGTGCTGAAATAAGGAAAGCTTGCCAAGTGGAAGAAAGTCCCTCGTTCCAGTGTCCCCTTGCAAGTGGCTACCATGTAATGGGCTGCTGGCGCATCCCACTGCATCCCTTGCTGATCCAGCCACTTTACGTTTCTCTTCTACTGGAGGGTGGCATATTGCTGAGGTTTCCTGTACTCTGCTGCAAGGTGATATATACTTTATAGAGTTGGAACAACCATTCAGGAAGAAAAAATGCTTGAGAGAGGTAATGGAGCCAGGATCTGTATTGCGATATGTATCATACTGTGTGTTTTACAAACTAAGCATTGGTGGGTTTAGAGTGTCAGCACGTTTCCTCCCCTTTTATCTCCCAGGCTAACATCAGAGAAAACTAAAGAAAATTCCTGGCTGTGAGAATTGGAGGCTTAGGAGGCCAAATGTCCCTGCCAGATCCTGAGAGCATTTTTACTTTGACTCCTAAAAATAGTAGCCCATGCTATCTGACGACTTTTGTTTCTATTGGTCTGTCACTGACGGGAGTGCTGTAGACACTACCAAAGGAGCAGTAGCACTGCCTTGAATGGTGGACTCTTACCCAGTGGTAGTACTAGCAGAGAGTCCAGGTAAATAGGACGAGGTAGACAGTACATGATTGAAGAAGGGTTGAAGGGAGGACGTGGTTCCAAAAAAGATCCTTCTCAATGTGTCGTCTGACTCAACCAGCTGGCAGAGTACACTTGCCAAGTCGTTCCCTTTCCTTCTAAGTCGTTTGACTCCACATTCACTTGAACATGCCTCCTTTAGGGAAAACCGAGAAACTTCCACTCAGCCTTTCCCCAAGGAAGTCTTTGGTGTCCTCTTGGTCCATCTTGGTTTCACCAGATGGAAGTAAAGGGGGGAAAGCTAACAAGATGGAATCCATGCATTGCAGTCAGCCACTCTCCTGTTTTCCATCTAGAAAGCACCATTACATTGACTACAGGTGAAGGGAGCAGACATCACTACGTCGTAATTTCAGAGTAATAACTATCCTGCTTTAGACATCATCATTTTCAGACCAGTTGACCCTTTTGAACAAAGAGTGATACTCTTCACTAAAAACGTCTGCTCTTGCTGTTGATGTTCCTTTTCTGTGTCTGCCTTTTACAACGTCAGCACTAGTCATTTTCTGTTTTTTTAGAGAATTAGATTTGTGTACTGGTAAAGAGTTAAACCTCTGTGCTGTCATAGGGCTTTGACAGATAGTTTTCCTCCTTGTAAACAAACAAATGGACTGGGAAAGACACAAAATGGCCTTTCTTTAGTTTCATGATGATTGTGACCATAAGAGATAGTTTTACATGTCAAGACTAAATGGTGTTTGCAGTGGATAGATCAAGAGAAGCAGGTGGGGGGTAGGGACAGGAAGAAGCCAAGTTGTCTGTATTCTAGATGCATTTACTAAAAGCAGGCACTTTCTACTAGCTAAGCACAATCAGAGCCCAGTGTGATCAGCTGCTAGTGTGAAGATCCTTCCCTGTCTCAGGGAAAGCCACACAAAAACACATAGGGATGTCTTTGCTCACATGTGTGATACTGACAGAGCCATGATACTCCTACAATATAGAGGGTTTTTGTTATTTTATTCTTAGCAAATTATATTCATTCACTACATCATGAACCATCGCTGACATATCCAAAATAGTGTATGTGGTTTCTTATGAAAATAAGAGAATAAAACCTGTTATAAGCAAGTGATTTGGGTATTTTCTTTTGTATTTATACATTATTCAGCTATGTTAAAACATGTTTCTATTTGTATCAATTTTCTCTGTCAATTATGTTTTTCAAATTCTCTAGAAAAATAGATCTGAAAATCACATTTCTTTTTCTGTAAAATGACTGCAACTACTTTATTATGTTTAGAAATCCAATAAACTTCTTATTACACATACTTGCCTGTGTGTAGAATTCTTTCTGGGTTGTATGATCTCTCTTGCCTTTTCTCTAAACCATATCCCCACCCTATACTCTGATTCGTTTTTTACATCATTTGCTTTCCATATGGTCTTCTGTGAAAGGGCATGTCTCATAAAGCAAAGGTGATGCCTCAAGAGTATGAAGACAACACTGTCTTCCATTGTTATCAGACAATCTTAAGGTCATATGTGTTCTGCAGACTTGACCATTCTGTGTCTTACCCTTGCAAACAAAGAATTTTTTGTGTTTAAAATTGGGTCCAAGTAAAAGGACCCATTTGGATGGGAGTAAGGAGTCCTCCACTCCCATCATGAGCAACTGGTTGATTTTTTTTTTTACACTTTTATTCCATCTCTATCATGTATACTTTTTTAAGGTTTATTTAATTTTAAAGTAGAGTTATATAGAGAGACAGAAAAAGAGACTTGCATCCATTGGTTTATTTCCCAAATGGCCACAACAGCCAAGGCTGGGCCAAGCCAAAGCCAGGAGCCTGGAACTCCCGCCAGGTCTGCACGTGGATGGAAGGGGCCCAAGCACTTGGGCCATCCTCTCTGCAGCTTTCCCAAGTACATTAGCAGGGAGTTGGATAGGAAGTAGAGCAGCTGGGACTCAAACTGGTGCCCTTATGGGATGCTGATGTCACAGGCATCTCCTTAACCAGCCACACCACAATCCAGCAACCTATGTATACTTTTCTAACTCTGTGGATCTATTGTTCACTAGGCACCTTGAGGGATGCAGATATAAATCAGACAGGCTTCCACTTTCAAGGAGATCATAGTCTAGTTGAGCTGATAGATATGAATACAAGTAACTATAGGGAAAGGAAAAGAAGAATCAGACACAAGGAGAACTGAAGCATTTTCCTCCGATTATTTCACCCCTATTTTATAGATAAAATTCTGACAGTGAGAGAGAGACAATTAATAATTCAAAACCACCATTCATTCCCTAAGCCTTTTTTACATGTTTTTAAGTAACAGGTATGCAGGAGAACCAAGACTGCCGACAACCAGTCACCTAAATATTAAGAGTATCTAAAATTAAGGTGTACATGAGACTGCTTACATGAAAGTCAGAAGGGAAGGCTTCTCTTCCCCACTTAGCCCTCAGGTTGTATTTCTCCAACATCACATTTTAAGGCCAGGACATCTGACAACTGCAACTGGAAGGACTCTGTAAGAAGCCAGTGTTTTTAAAGTTGCCAGAATCAACGTACATCTTGGAACACGTGGTAGGTAAATCGCTGGGAATTGGGGTATCCGTGGCTTCTTGTCAGAAAGTTGTAAATGAAGAACATATAAGATGCAACCTTGGAGCCGGCGCCGCAGCTCACTAGGCTAATCCTCCAACTTGCGGCGCCGGCACACCGGGTTCTAGTACCGGTTGCGGCGCCGGATTCTGTTCCGGTTGCCCCTCTTCCAGGCCAGCTCTCTGCTGTGGTCAGGGAGTGCAGTGGAGGATGGCCCAAGTGCTTGGGCCCTGCACCCCAGGGGGAAGACCAGAAGTACCTGGCTCCTGCCGTCGGATCAGCATGGTGCGCCGGCTGCAGCATGCCGGCCATGGCGGCCATTGGAGGGTGAACCAATGGCAAAGGAAGACCTTTCTCTCGTCTCTCTCTCTCACTATCCACTCTGCCTGTCAAAAAAAAAAAAAAAAAGCAACCTTAGGACTGGTAGGTAAAGTCAAAGCATGCTGTGCTGGTATCCCATGTGTGCGCTACTCCACTTCAGATCCAGCTTCCTGTTTAATATGCCTGGAAAGTAGCAGAAGATGGCCCAAGTGCTTTGACCCCTGCAACCATGTGGGAGACCCAGAAGAAGCTCCTGGTTTCTGGCCTCCAGTCAGCCCAACACTGGCCATTGTGGCCATTTGGAGAGTGAACCAGCAGATGGAAGATCTCTCTTTCTCTAACTCTGCCTTTCAAATAAATAAATCTGTAAAAAAGAAAAAAAATGCTAACTTGTCTTCCCTTCTCTGGGTTACTTCATGTCCGTTGCCAGCCCCTTTCTGCTGTCTAATTCTAATAATAATAATAATATAATAATAATATCTAATTCTAATACTACACATTCATTCACATGTTCCCATTTTTATAATGTGAGGGCTACTGGAGCCTTTGGGGAATGAAGTAATAATGAATTCTAGAGAAATGAAGGGATTTCCTCAACGTCACAAGATAGTTCAATGGCAAGGCTGGATGTTGAGTCTTAACCTCCTTATTTTCAGTCCACTGCAGTCCTAAGATGACTTTAATCATGTGGAAAAATGAAGACATTTAGAAATGAACAAAATTGAAAAAGGCATAATGTCCATAAACTGAAAGAAATTGTAAAAATATACATTTCAGAAAAATATAAAACAAGAAGGAATATTGGTAGTACAACAAGAAATGGTGAGCAAAAACAATGGTACCCATTTGTTAAATCTAAGCAAACTCTAATACAGATCAATCTGTTATACCTAGAATTAAAAAAAAAAAATGAAGCTAAGATACTGGACAGTAATAGAATGTAGGCCCAGAATGCAATGAGTAAAGTTAAAATTTGATAGGATTTGCATATTTGGAAGAAGAGAAGTGCTATAAAACTTCAGATTTTAAGTTAATGTATATATGTAAATATTTCAATAGCAACCAGCTAAAAGAAAGTATATATGTAACCATACCATCAGTAGAGACAGAAGTAGAATGGGATAAGGACAATAATATAGCAAATTGTTTAAAAAGAGAAAAAAATACAAAGCATATAATACATGAGTTCATGAATACTAATAATTACAGTATATGTAAATAGATTGAAATCTACAATTAAAAGGTAAATTTTGGCTGGATTAAAGCTAATGCAGCTATAAAAACGTTTACAAGAGATGTATCTAAATACAATTGAGAGAAAGTTTAAAATAAAAGGGTGGATATTTTATCATTAACTATTACTCAAAACTAAATTAGATTTAGGTCCCTATATTATTAAATAAAAACTTAAGACAAAAGTATTATTAGAAAAAGGAATATTGCTTATTGCTTAGCAAGTTCAATCCACTGAGAACAAATTCTGAATTTTCAATGCACTAAGTAATATTACTTCAAAACATAAAAAACATTGCAGAACTAAAAAATTCAGACCTGCCCTCAGATATCTTAAGAGAATTCCTTCAGTTGTCCAAATAAAACAAAAAAAATCAAAAAGATTTGAACACTGTATGTTTGATTTAATGGATAATTAAGAATTGCCAGCTGCCACAGCGGCTTAATAGGCTAATCCTCCTCCTGTAGTGCCGGCACCCCGGGTTCTAGTCCTGGTTGCCCCTCTTCCAGTCCAGCTTTCTGCTGTGGCCCGGGAAGGCAGTGAAGGGTGGCCCAAGTGCTTGGTTCCTGCACCCGCATGGGAGACCAGAGAAGCACCTGGCTCCTGGCTTAGGATCGGCACGCCGGCCACAGCAGCCATTGGGGGGTGAACCAACGGAAAAAGGAAGATCGATCTCTCTCTCTCTCTCACTGTCCACTCTGCCTGTAAAAGAAAAAAAAAAAAAAAAAGAATTGCCACATCCACCAAATGAAAAATGAGCTTCCTTCTTTACGCTCATAGGAGGAATTTACTAACACTCATCAGCTTAGAGGCCTACTATCAACAAAGATCAAAGCATCTTTTATACAGACTATGCTGGTTACTAAGAGATTTAGCTGAAAATTAATAATAACCATAGGTAACTTTAATTAATGTTTCGGGGCTGGCACTGTGGCATAGTGGATAAAGCTACCACCTGCAATGCTGGCATCCCATATGGGTACCGGTTCAAGTCCTGGCTGCTCCACTTCCCATCCATCTCTCGTCTGTGGCCTGGGAAAGCAGTAGAAGATGGCCCAAGATCTTGGAGCCCTGCACCCGCAAGTGAGACCCAGAAAAAGCTCCTGGCTACTGAGTTTGGATCTGCTCAGCTCCAGTCATTGTGTCCATACCAGCGGATGGAAGATCTCTCCCTCTCTCCTCTCCCCTCTCTCTGCCTCTCTCTAGCTCTGCCTTTCAAATAAATAAATCTTTAAAAAAAAAAAAAAAAAAGTACTCCCATCCTTTACAGAGCCAATAATAGCATTTACAGTCTAGAAATTGTACCCCATCATTGCTAAAGAAATTTCTGCTCTATGGCATCCTTTTTAAAAAATTAATGTTTGCAAATTTTAAAATATTTTGAGGGGCTGGGATTGTGGTGCAGCAGTTTTGAGCCACTGCCTGTGATGCTGGCATCCCATTCGGGCACATGTTTAAGTCTCATCTGCTCCACTTCGAATCTAATGCCTTGCTAATGTGCCTGGGGAAATGGAGTTCAAGTCTCCTAGATTCGGTCTGTCCCAGCCCTCGCCTTTGCAGCCATTTGGGAAGTGAACTACAAGACGAAAGATCTCTGTCAACCTCTTTCTCACTCTGCTTTTCAAATAAATATTTAAAAAAAAAAAAAACTTTGAAGTAGTTTATTTCAAAACATCATGATCATAGGAACTGAACACTAAGAAGAATTCAACACCATAAACTTTGTTAGTTTAAATAAATCCTAGAGGAAAATGTAAATATAAAATACAAAGTGAAAATTCAATAAGCTAATTGTTCTACTTAGGTTAAACAAAGAACAAAATAAAAACCCATGAATACAATTAAAATATGAAAAAAAAACCAAATCAACTGCATTGACAAAAGGATATAATAAAGTATGCAAAGCCAAAATTTGGCACTTAGAAAAAGGAATTACATGTGTCTGGAAATGTTGATCAAGAATACAAATTTGGAGGATACAAACTACATGATTATCTCAGTAGATGCAGAGAAAGCATTGGATAAAATACAACATCCTTTCATGATAAAAGAAAAATCTTAAGCAAATTGGGGATAGAAGGAAGCTTCCTCAACATAATCAATTTATGAAAAACCTACAGCCAGAATCTTATTGAATGGGGAAAAGCTGGAAGAATTTCCACTA